TAAACCCTACAGCCTAAACCCTATAAGGGGTGTCTCAGCCGATCAAAAGAGCAGAAGGCACGGATCTATGGAGTAATGTAGGAGGAACCAGCACATCTGACCAAAGTAGTGATTTAGGACGAAATCAATCACAGATTTAGGGTTTAGGGTTTAGGTTTTGGGTTCATAGGGTCTACAAAACCATTACAGAAGTGACGTGGGACGACATCAATCATAGGGTCTACAATCCACGAAAGAAAGAATTAGTCGTCGAACCATGAAGCACACAGGTGCACACAATGAGCTTGACGGTATTCCGGGTTTTGCCCATCATACTGGCAAAGTGAATATATCAATGCAGAAGCGTTTACATGGTCAGCGTCCCTGGTCAGTCGCAACTGCAAACCGAATAGGTTCGCGCGAATAAGGGTCTATTTAACATTCAATTCAATAGAGTAGTAGCATGAAGAGATCACTGGATGCAGGGTTTCGTGGTTAAGGGACCTTGCCTGAGTTCGGTTTAGGGTTTAGGGTAGGCAACAACTGTGAGTATTGCATGTTTTGCTCGCGTAGTTCTTGCGGAGCAAGGGTGAAAAAGTGTTTGTCCAAGGGCTAACGCCGGGGCGGGAGGGGGGGGGGGNNTAGATATCTTTATATATATATATATATATACATATTCATACGTACACGTGTGTATATGTATGTATATATATATATATATGCTATATAAACACATATATGTATATATACACATGTATGTATATGAATATGCATGCTGTTATGCAGCTGCAGATATGCAAGTCGATTTTTACACACATATCTATCCACACACACACATCTCTCTCTCTCTCTCTCCATCTCTCTCTCCATCTTTATCTCTCTGTCCATCTCTCCGTCTATCTCTCTAGCTCTCTAGCTCTCTAGCGCTCTGGCTTCTCTCCATCTCTCCATCTCTCCATGTCTCTATCTTTTCTCTCTTTCTCTATCTCGCTATTTCTCTAGCTCTCTAGGTTGCTATCTGGCTGTCTGTCTATCTCTCTATTTCTCCTCTATCTCTTTATCTCTGCATCTCTCTACTCTGTCTCTCTTTCTCTCTATCTGTCTCTCTCTGGCTATATATGTATATATTCATATTCATATCCATATCTACACCTGTATCTATAACTCTACCTATATCTATGTCTATATTTGTTTCTATTTCTATATCTGTATCTTTATCTATATCTGTACCTATATCTATATCTATCCCTATATTTATACCTATATATCTATATCTGAAACTTCAAGACCACAGCCCCAATGTATAGGTCTGAACAATTACCATCATTAGTTCTTGGGGTTCCTTTTTGCTGATAGACTGCAGTACTATATTCTGTCCCGAAACCTTGTTCCAATTATGAAGGCTTCTATACCAGTTAGTAGATTGCAGGGTCATTGGTAGGGCAGCTGAAGTTAGAGCAGGGGGGCAGGGTGCTTACGGTACTCACAACCGAAGCTGTAACTACCCATGAACGTTGAAGATAACTAGCCCTAGACCTGAACCCCCAGAAACTTGCTAAGCCGCAAGAACCCAAACCAAGAACCCACTAAACCGCCCCGGCTGTTCAAGGAGAACGCCAAAATACCATGCCACTCCAAAGAAAAGGCCCAATTCGGCAAGACAGGCCTCCCGGTCGTTGTTCCAGGTGAACCCTAAACCCTAAACCCTAGACCCTAAACCATAAGGTTTTGCGGAATTTTAGGGTGTGGGGTTTAGCGTGAGGGATCTTTCCCGGTGCAATCCAGATTCTTGTGATTTTCCTGTTTCCGTCTCCAGGCATCGAAATCCACTTCATCGCCCCTAAACCCCGTAAGGGTGTTTAGGGTGCCGGGTTTAGAGCGTTTCGGGTGTAAGGAGTTTGGGGGTTAGGATTCAAGCTTCAGGGTACATGTAGATCTCCGATTAGTAATAGACCTCCCTCCCTGAACTAGGTAGTGATCCTAATATCAAGGGCACTTGAAGAGAGGGGTCTTGGACGTTGAGGCCAAAAAACTTGGAATCTAAAACATCGCGGGGTTTTTAACCCTAAGAGTAAGGTTTAGCGCCTAGGGTGACTCCCTCATAAACAGCATCACCAACGCACAACTCATCACGACCACCACGGTCATCACCATCATCATCATCATCCTCATCATCCTCATCATCCTCATCATCCTCATCATCCTCATCATCATCATCATCATCATCTTCACCATCTTCACCACCACCTAGACCCTAAACCCGAAATCCTAAGCCCTCATTCACCCACAGATCTCAGAAGCGCCTCGAAGGCTTCTCCCCGCAACTGCCGTGTCTTTCTACGACCCGGCTCCCCACCCTTTAGGGTTTAGGGCTTAGGGT